ACTAAGATGCATCATGTTCTGGTACAAACACCCAATGATAACTGTAAATGTATTTTATACCTAAAATGTACCAATAAATATATATATTAAAAAAATTTTTTGTTCAAAACTGGAACACTTTTATTGGTCCTTTTGTGTTTCATAAGCGTGACAATTGGAGTTTTGCAATACTGTGTGAGATGTGTCTCCTTCATACTTTGTTATGATGTCAGCACATTACCTGTCTGATGTGAAAAAGGAGAAAAGGAACATCTTTAGTATTTTATGTGATTATAAAATGATTATATTCTTAAAGTTAAACTACTGTACATATTTTTTTTATTTTGAGACGGGTCTCACTAAGTCACTAAGTTGCCCAGTCTGGGATCAAATTTGCAATCTTTTTGCCTCAGTCTCACAGAGTGCTGGGATTACACGCATGTTCCATCGCGTTGAGCTAACTGTATATAACTTAACCACCACCATGACTGCATCTCTTTGCCTGATATTTTACAGAGATTTATGATGAACACACACACACACAACACAAGGTTGAGAGTCAGAAGTTTTGAGTTCCTACTACAATTCTCCACATAATGGCAACCACAATCATTAATTCTATCATCTAAAAAATGGGAAAATATGCCCTATTATCTTCTAGGGATCATATAAGTAAAAAAGATAGGATAGTTCTTTGTAGTAGCAATGAATTATATAAAATTAAGACAACAAACAATTTATTTTATCAAGCACTTATTGTGTTTGCCAGGAAATGAGACTCTCAGGATACAAAGTTGAACATGGAATACTCACAGGGAGCAATATTGGAACAGAGAATACAGAAAAAATGACATCTATTTATCCCTGGGAATATGAGTCAGAAGAAGATTCGAAAGGGAGTGAACACCTGAGGGCTAAAGAACAAACAAGAATCAGCAAGGGTATACAAGTTAAGAAATTGCAGATAACTAGAAGTACAAAAGTAGAGAAAGATGGAGGGCTGCAGAATTAGGCAACTGTTCCATTATAAGTCTTGTATGCCAATAATAGTTTGTAATTTATCTTATAGGTAATCGAGAGCTATAGCAAAATTAAATGGGAATGACATAGTTAGGTTTGCATTTTATGAAGAATCACTTCAGAGGCAGCATGGAAGATGATTGGGTGGGGTGGAGTAATACAGAAGGAAGGAAGACCAACTAGGAGGCTATTTTAAATTGTAACAATTTAAATTTTACAATAGAGGGTCTGAATTAAGACAGGAACACTGAGCATAGAGAGAAAGGAAATTTCAAGATACATTTAGTAGGGCAGGACCTACTACTGACAAGATATAGAGGTTAAGGGAATTGACTAGGATAACTTACAGATTTGTAGCTTGAACCAGAGTGTAGAAAGTAGTCTATTTAGTTAGCTTATGAGTACGGAAGCTAGCTAGGGAAATGGCCTGAGATAAGAGTTGAGTGACCAGCTATATTGATAAGAATTAAGAATATACACTGAGGGCTAAGGATTTAGCTCAGTGGCACAGCGCCTGCCTTGCAAGTGCAAGGTCCAGAGTTTGATCCCCGGTATCAAAAAATATATATACACTGAACTAGAACTTTGGACCAAGAATGAACTTCCACAGGCAATGTAGCATGATGCCCCTTTCCTACTAGAAGGAGTTATAGCCACTCCCTACTAAACTGAGTTCTGAGGAACTTGAACATGCAAACTAACCAGTTTTTCTCTAAAACTAGTTTCCTTTAAACTCTACATGTTGAAGAACTGGGTTAGACAGCCTGAATTCCAACTGGTCATTTTAAATTCATAGAGCCACCTGTGACAGGTGACCACTAAAGAATAGAGCAATTTCTGTGCTCTGCTTATCTATAATTAGCTCTGGCTTGAGGGTCCCTGAGGCCACTCACGTGGGACCCGTCCTGGAAATTCAGGAGTTCTTCTTATTATTATTATTTCCAATCAAACTCTTCTAACTGCCTCTTTTGGTTCACAACTTCATTCCTTGACATTTGCAGAACCATGAGCTCAGTACTTATGCTAACACATGGTCAGATGGTGGCACCATTAAATGGTATCAAAAAGAAAGGAGGAAGTAAGGAGTGGTGGTGCAAAAATATATTCTCAGGTATTCTGAAGGTTAAGGCAGGAAGATTGCCAGTTCAAGTCCAGCCTGGGCAATTTAGGCCCTGTCTCAAAATAAAATTAAAAGAAAAGGGGCTGAGGATATAGATCAGTGTTAGAGTGTTTCCCTAGCATGCATGAGGTCCTGAGATAAAATCCCCAGGACCACGAACAAAAATAAAGAGAAAGAAAGAAAAGAAAAAAAGTGTTTGCTTCGGCAGCACATATACTAAAAAAAAGAAGAGAAAAGAGAAAAAAAAGGAAAGGGGGAGGGCCGGGGATTTAGTGCAGTTGGACCGCGCCTGTCTCGCAAGCTCAAGGTCCTGAGTTCGATCCCTGGTACCAAAAAAAAAAAAGAAAGAAAGAAAGATAGAAAGAAGTTAAGAGGCTGGAAGAGGAAAGAGATTTGACGAATTCAGTTCTAGACTCATTGTTTTTGAGACAGCAGAAGAATATTAGAGTTCAAAAGGCAGTTAAAATGAGTACAGTACTATTATTAATTCCTGTTGAAAAGCTTTGTTTAGTACAATAAAACAACTTCCAAATATAATTAAATGTAATTTGGAGTGAGAAATCTCATTTTAAAATTTATAAGATACTAGTATAGTTAAATCCTTCACTTATTTTATTGAACATCATTTTGTATTTCTTCCTTTGGCTTGGTAATTGATGACTAGGTATTTGATGAAAATTTGAAATATATCTATAGCACAGAAAGTTTTTAAGACTCACAATTCTAATTGATTAGCTTGTTCTTAATTATGGAAGACATCAACAGCATAAATAATCCCAACCAGAAATAGGAAAATATTTTTGTTTAGACCATATAATATTTTCCATGAAACAGCTATAGAATAGCCAAACAACTCATATAGGAGACAT